TCCCATTCTGCCATGAGCTTTTTCTAATAAGTACCTCCAGAATTTTTAGCATACTTCATAAACATAACCAAATGAGACTATGAAAAATGCTGACTGTAGTTCATCAGCTTGATCTCATTAAAAATATGAGTGAGAGCAACTTTTCAGTTAGGTAAAATATTTAATCAGAAAACCTCAAAAACACAGCACATGGTACTTTTCTAAACGTGTCTTCATGCTTAAAAATAAAGGTGTCAGAGAAGGTTCTTTGGATCGATGCCATGATAGAACCACATTTGGTTTCCTAGAGAAGCTTTCAATGGATGATTCTTCAATAAATCATGGCTGTAAATGAGATGTGTAAGTGAGAATAACTTTTAAAAGTTTAAAGAACCTCCACATAATGAGAGTTTTTCCTACCACTGTATATTCTGACTGTATATCCATTTAGGACCCTTTATTAAACGTGTAGGGTAGATAACATATGTTCCCATTTCTATGTGAGCTCAAGCTGATAAAAAAGAAAACAATTTTTGCTCATCTTCACCAAGAATAATTCTAAAGGGCACGGTACATACTATTAACTTGAGTATATTGATTTTGGTTGTTTTGGTTGTTTTGTTTTTCTGACAATTGTCTGAACCACAAAAACATTTCACAGTGTTCTATTTTTAATCAGAGCTATGGTAAAGCTAGATGCTGGATTTTCGAGTCAGATATAGTTATTGATTTGTTGGGGCCTCCTAGTTTAGTAATCATCAATATGGACCAATAATTCCCTAGCAATCTTGGGCTGTGTAGAACTGCTGTGTTAGCAGATCCAAAGCAAGCAGACGCAGGGGGAGCTTGTACTAGTGGGCCGTACATTAAAGTGATAAAACATGACGGAAAGAAAATAAACAAAAAGCTTTTCCTTGGCATTTTTTGGCTGCCACTAGGGAGTTGTCAGAGCTTATGGCAGGATTTGACATTTAGTTTATGTGACGTAGTCATCCTTCAGTTCTCCTGTAAAAAAAAAAGATGGTGAAAAGTAGCAGAGTGTGTTCTGAATATCTCTTGATTGGCTGGAGTGGCTCCATGTGTGTTGATTGCAGCAGCAGACCCAGGTGTGCTTCCAGCCTCGCCGCTGGGGAGCTCTCCATGGTGATGGCCCACCTAAGGTGCGCTCCCAGGGCCAGAGCTGAAAAGCTGTCCATGGTGCTGAACTGGCACATTCTACCTTAGGTGGCCAGCTTCCTCTCAGCGATGCTGCTCATTATTAGCAGTTTAGCAAAAACAAAAGGAAGGAATAGTGCTTAAAAATGAGTCAGCCTTGTGTTTGGAAGAACAAAGACAAGTCAATGCAGCTAGTATTCAGCAACTGAATGTGCTGTGACTTCAATTTCTTTGCACCCTGTGCAATGACAAAGAATCTTGAATCTTGAAAATGATGAGCCTGTATTAGAAATAAAGAGCTGTCCGTGGTGCTGAACTGTCACATTCTACCTGTGGTGGCCAGCTTCCTCTCAGCGCTGGATGCTTTTTAATAGCAGTTTAGCAAAAATAAAAGGAAGGAATAGAACTTAAAAATGAGTCAGCTTTATTGTTGGAAGAACAAAGACAGGTCAATGCAGCTAGTATTCAGCAGCTGAATGTGCTGTGACTTCCTGACTAGAAAAATGATGTGCCTGTGTTAGAAATGTATGTGTATTTTAAATAAAAAAAGTTTAGGTTAATTATGTATGCTCATATTGCCTAAATGTTACTGCCAAAAGGTCTGGGAAACGATACTAGATATTAGGGCTATCTTGATAAAACTCTGTTGGATATTGCAATGACAATATATCATAATTAAAATAGTATGTTTCTTACAGGATGTGCAGCAAATACACACCCTTATTAAGGAGTAATCTAACCTTTCCTTTTTGCAAATGGCAACAATTTTACAAATTCCCTATTCATTATTGTAAAAATTGCAAAATAAAATGACGAAATAATAATAGCGACTTACATCAAATCTGCAATTTTTTTCTGCACTGTAAGGCTGTTAGAGAAACAGTCAGGGTTCCCTGAACAGCTTCTCCTACGTAGGCCCACAAAAACAAAACTGTATATAATGAGATCCTTTAAAAGCTTCTCAGGGCAAGGGCGGTTTTTTGTGATAGTAACCCCTATTGCTTTACACATTTTACACATAACACTAACAACAATGCTGTGTTTAGTATGTTGGCGGTAGATGGATGACGCCAAAACATATTCCATTGTTTTGCAATGATGTAAAATTCAAGAGAGTTCATTTTTGAGAGCCGTGAATGCCAAACATCTCATTGTTGAAGTCCAGGATCACCCAGTATTGTACAACAAAAATTAAAAAGCACAGAGCGTCCTCCTGAATTTTTTTCCCATGTTTCCATCTTTTCTGTGTTGTCACTGTGCCAACGTTGTGAACTCAGCATGAGAATAGTTGTCAAGTTTGAAGCATTTTTACATGCTAGTAGTAAAGGGCAGGGGCATAGCCACAGAGCAGGTTGGATATTATTTTTTTATTTTTCATGCCTGCTGTGCCAGTATGCTTTAGCCTGGGATGATTAGGCTTAGGTTTGCTGTTTTTTTTCCTTGCCTTTGTACTTCTCTACTATCTGATTTTAACTTGGCCTTGTTGTCTAAATCGGGCAAAAGTGGCTGTGAAGCGCGATGCAGTGTTGCTTGTGTTCATGTGCATCCAGTTTGGTTGATTTACTATTGTTTTGTATCAAGACATTGGAAGCATTGGAAGTGGTAGGATGATGACCGCACAGTTGTTAGCTATAGCCTGTAGCAAGATATTATGACTTTGCGAGACAAACCATGTTTGGAAATTGTATCTGCCAAGTTTGCCTACTCACTGTTTCGCAGGCCTACCCAAAAATCTGTGGTGCACACAGCTGCTGTAACATTAGACACGACTCCTCACTCTGTTGCATCTTTTAACAGTGCATCTATTGCCGTAACCCATAAAACGATAGCTTGTACTCATTCGAAAGCTTTATTTGTTAAAATTAAGGTTTTACACTGCATTGAACGGATAGTTCAGTCGGAGATGATGTAGAGTAAATCTGCCTCACAGTGTTTGCAAAACGTCCTTCAGGCTGGACTGTCACACTGCCTGTGCTAATGTTTTTACATAAATGAAAAGGTATATGATGGCTTGTTCTTCAGGAATGTCTTATGTAGCCTATTTCTCCTCAATCTCCCCTTAATAGCTTACACCCCCTGTTTAACATTCATGAGATTGAAAACTCCCACATTTAAATGCATTACCTGCCCATATCTGTTTGTATTGTATATTACTGTAACCTTTTTCTGAAGGCAGGCCGTGTGTGGAGGAATAAAGTTGTTCCGTTTAGGTCACTGTGTACTTCCCAGGGTGGTTAAGATCAGTTTCATCTCAGTTGGGAGCCTCACTCCCAGACTCAGGCCTGTCGCCCTGCCACTGTCAGAAAAATAAATATGATGAATCTACCTCTTTAATTACCCTGCAGTTTCATGCCAGCAGTCATCAGCTGTCAGGAGCAATTAATATCTCAGCAATAACTGTTCCTCTTGGCAAAGTTTAAAAAAGAATGAATACATCATGTTGTGAGTAGTGGTTAATAACATTGTTTACTGTCATTGCCACAGCAGCTGAGGAGCTTTGTGAAATTAGAATTAAGTGGAATTCCACTTCAGTTTTCCAAAACGTGATTCCATTAACGCTAAGCCTTTTCGGGGGAGGCTCTGAGAAGTGTGCACATTCATCATCGCAAAAGACAGCTTATTTACAAAAGAGTGCACTGAACTGATAATTCAAATATCAGCCTGCTGAAGGAGTGGAAATATTTGAGGAGGCTGTAAATTATTATGTGCAATGTAAAGACTGCGCATCCCCTGACAGTTCAATCATAGATGCATGTTATCCACATGCGCTGTTTATTTATCTATTTATTCACAGAATGAAGAGGGAAAAACAGCCATGATGGCAGTATAATGTTTGTGTCAGCACTGTTGGGTGTACAGACATAATAATCAGGTCAAAAACTGTTTCATTAGGGAAGACTCCGTCTGACCTTTCTGTGACAAGGGCTGCGGCATTCTAATTTCCCATGAAATAGCATGCATCAATAAGTTTGACATTTACATTGGCGGAAAGCAGAATGCGTTGCCAGCATTGAAACATAGCAGCGAAGAGAAGGGAAAAGCCCAGGATTACCCGAATTAGACTTAATGGAAGAAGGGAACATGAATAGCACATTAATGTAGCCTAAATTTTTGATACAATGTAAGAGTCGGCTATGTCCATCTTGTGGTCTCTAGACAAAAAAAAACTTGTGTTGGTGATGGTAACAAATGTGTATTAAACATTTTTCATTTGATTTTTCTAAATGACTGCAACTAGGCAATTCCACGTGAGAAATTCAGTCTGTTGCTGAAAGACTTACTAGCTTTTTTTCCATTTATTTTTCTCCGGTTTCATTCGGCTTAGTGGGCTGTCTGCTATAACACATCAGTACATGCATGCATATGAAGTTGTTTTTAGTCCTGTGACCATGCTCAGAGGAAAGCACATAGGAAAAAAAAAGTCCTGGGACCAGGCAGAAGCTTGGAGGAAAATGCGAAGCACATGGATGATAACAGACAGGATATGAAGAGCTCCTTTCAGCAATAGGTCTTCTTATTTTAGGACACAGCCTCCGTTCACTTAGACCAGACTACATCAATCTCAGCAGTGTGGCTTCATGGAGACAGGTCACAGTGGGCCTTCCAAACAAACCAAGCCTAATAATCAATTGTTCCAGTCACAGACTCTGACAGACTCATAAAAGAATGCAGTCATTCATCCTCCATCCATCTTTCTCTTTGTCATCCTTTCTCTCTGTGATCTCTGTCTTACTCTGTGTTGCCAACCTCCACCTCCTCTCTCTCTCTCTCCCACTCTCTCTGATCTGCTATGTCCTCTGCCTTTCTATGTATGCTTGTCATTGTCTCAAACACTTTCTAACAACCTCTAACCTCTGTCTCCACAGATCAGCTGAGGAGGGTGGTCATGGAGTGGAGAGCGCCGCAGATATTTGAGGTACAGGGTCACATTCTGTTTCTAAAAAAGCTGACTTCTGCTATTCAGTCACTCTCCACATGGCAGTGAGATGTTTAATGATTACACTATCTAAGGTAATTTAATGAACACCTCAGAATCTGTGGCAAACTGTTGTAAACCCGAGATGCAGTCTTGCAGTACAGTAAGGCATATGAAAAATCTTGAGTGTTGGATTATGAGTTGCACGGAATCAAAGGATAAATGTCATTTCAAATAGTTTGTCTAAATGCAGCACTCTTCAGAAGTATTGTAAACATGCAAAAAGGCTATGAGAAAAACTTTGTTGTTTGTGTTATCAGTTTGATTTTACACTTAAAGCACTTAACTTCCTGTTTCACTTGAGTATAAATGTGAAGTGATGTGCAGCCCAAACACCATTAGTCATCCGTCATCATAGAGACGATCAGAGAAAACACCAATGACAATGACAAATAAATCAGACAGTAGCTTCACACCATCTCCGCTGTTAGGACAAACAAGAAGTTTCAAAGTACTGGAGCTGTGATGAAACTGCTTAAAAGAGCACACAAGCCTCCACAAACAGTGGAGAATTTGTTCAAAAGGCAGCATTTTCTTCTAGGACCACAACGGGACAGTACAGGACTTGGTGGCATCCGGGGTCACCTGGTCTTTACTAATTTCAATGGACAGGTAGCTATGCTTACAATGCAGTCTAAGCTAGATATCAGCTATAGAACATAGTCTTCTCAGTTATCATGTTGAAGTGTTGCCTAGTGCAGGGGTCAGCAACCCAAATGTTAAGAACAGCCATTTTGTCCTTCAACAAAAATCAACAGAAATCAAACCACATTGGGAGCCACAACATTTTATGTCCATTTTATTAAAGTAATGTTTTACCATCTTGGCTGTAAATATGTCTCAGCATGTGTTTATGTTCTAGTATAGGCTAGATATTATAATATATGATCAAAAACGCAGACTTACTTTGCTCTGCTTTAAGCTTTAGCTCAGCTGTAGCTGCTTTTTTCACATCTCTGGCAGGAAACTTCTCCTTACAAGTAGAATAGTTTCTCATAAAATGTCTCTCAACATTTGTTTTTTTTATGAGGCTGAAGTCAGCTCACAGTTGCAGCTTCTCATTCATCAGCTTCTTGTTCAAATTTTTCCTTTCCACCTTAAATGTTGCTTTGGACGCCAGAATGCAACTTCTGCACCATTTAAGGTGGAACAGGAAAATTTGAAAGAGAAGCTGACTTCAGTTTCGTGACTTTTTTAGTGTTTGACAGTTGCAGATTAAATATATTAGGAAACCAGCTGGAGGTGCATATATGCAAATACGTCCATTCATCTCCAAATCTTCGATGTTCGTCTTAAACCTTTCTTACAACCTTAAACTGTTGTCTGCGTTGCTATATGACCAGCAGTCTGCACGCTGATCTTCAGGTTAAAGGTTGGTGAATTAGCACTTATAGACTACATTAACTCCAGTGTTTAATACCATTTATTGTTAAAACTGTGTTAAAACGATCATCAGAGCTTTATTTTACTGCAAAAGAGGATGATTTTTATTTTTACCTAAAAATCTAATTCTGCTGTGGAGCCACAATAGGGCGGTGAAAGAGCCACGTGTTGCCGACCCCTGGCCTAGTGCCTAAACGTGTCACCAACAGTGCACCTTTCCCAAACAACTGTCTGTCCAAAGAGAATATTTTTAGGATAAATGACCTCATGGACTCATGGCCTTATTTCAAACACCAGGAGGTTTTACATCTGGAGGTTTTAGATAACAAGTGAGTACGAAGGATGTTGAAGAATCTAAAAAAATTGTTGATACATTGATACTTGCTCCTCATAAAGCATTATTAGACAGTTGGTGTTGGCAAGGAGAGGGTGAATATGTACTCAGCGTGGGGCTGCCAGTAATTGTGACACCTTTTGAATTTTAGAAGAAGAAAATCATCTTTGTTTCTAAAGAGTTTAGTACAAGTCAGTTTAACTGTGATGATCTTGCAGTGGTGCCATCAAGAGTTTTTTATTTATGTGCTGCACAAAAAGAGCCTTTTAAACAGCACTTTTTTATGAGATGGGGTTTGTTTGAAGGTTGACCTTCAGACATTGCTTCTTACCATCATTTCTCTCTTGCATTTGCACGTTGTGCCACTCAGACTAATTCAAAGGCCTTTAACAGCTCTTGTCTCTTAATTTCTAGTCATTACCACAGGGCACTGGCCAGAATCACTTGCATAACAAATTATTTATATTTCCCCCATTAGAAATGCTGGCTTCAACTGCATCGAGTGCACACTTAGCATAATGCAGGCAAAATGGCTCACACTAACTGTATTAGAAATTTAATTTCAGTGTTAGCTAATTAAGCTTCCCAAAAACTTGACAGAGAACTATGAAACAAGCTCACCTTCCCCCCTCCCCCTCTTTTTCATTATCATATGAAAGCATATGAAAGGATAAATGTTTTTGGAATGATGAAGATCAATTAGTGAAACGAAAATATATGGTAATGGTGCCGTGTAGGTTAACCATATGACTTATGGCCATGAGTATGCTGTGGTGGTATGATCCCCAGCTGGCTCGCTGGAACAATTAGCATTCATTAAAACACCAGGAGCGCTTTAGGAGTCTCATCTGGGCTGAGCTCTCATTTCACTCTCTTTAAAATCTCGTTGTCTAAAAATGGAATGGTGCAAATTGCGTTGGCTCTGTGGTCTGTCAGCAGAGGGGTTTTCTTTTAACCACCATGCTTAATAGTTTTGCTCATTAATATTATTTAGGTTTGTGTCATGTGCTCATGAGTGCACAAAGGATACCGCTGGCAGTGTTGAACGTTTACTCTGGTGCCTTAAATGCTACTTAGTGTATTTGTTCTTCAGTCAGCTGGACAGAACTTTCTTTTTACTGGGCAATATACATTTATCACAGCTTATGTGTTTTATAGGTTAAAGCAATACCAATAAAGCAATAACAGGATTCTTCCTCATGGCTATTTGCAGTCCGTTCCAAGAAGAACATTCTCCATTTTTAATCTTTTGCATTGACCTGTCTAGTCAGTCTTACTTCTCTTCTGGTGCTGCAGCCTTTCTTTTTTCTGTAGACTGTAATTTCTGCTACTGTTGAAATGGTAGGTTCTGAAACTCGACTCTCATGCTGTAGGATTTGGTGCAACTCCAGCAAGTGGAATTTTTAGAAACTGATTTAATTTCCTTCAGCACTCACAGCTTTTAGAATTCACATTAGTTCCAAGCATTTTGTCCAGAGATACAGAATTATATGCAGTAAACAGTCAGAGTTAAAATGGTAAATCAAAGCATCAGGGACGTTTAAGTTTGCTTTTGAATGCTTTTGACAGCCTGAATACACAATATGTCACGGCCTCATAATTTTCCGTTGACCTCATAAACTCCTAAAACTCCTCTTTTCAGAGGAGTGACTTGATTTACCGCATAAACGTAGCAACCCTGCTGTGCTCAGCTGTGTGTCTATGTGTACCTTAATCATAGTAATCCTTACATTCTTTATTTCCTTCTGATTATTCTCAGTAGCTCTGCTAAAAGGAGCGGAATTGATTTTGGCACACGACAACAGGAATGTGGAGTTATTTATGCTCATATTCAGTGATTTCCCAAACAAGGCTTTTGTAAGGCACAGTGGTTTGGTCATTCCTTTTAAAACATGTTTACAGGTATTTTGGAGATTCAGTATTCAGTAGGTGTTGTATGTTTTGACAGTTTATTCGGTTTAATGGCCATGGGTTTCATCTAGGGGTGGGCGACACAGCAAAAACGACATCCTGACAAACATTTTCATTATACATAATAAGTATGACAATATTTGCTTTTATAGATGTTTGCTTAGTTGATGTATACAATGATTTGTATTCTATTTTTCACATACTGCACTAAATCCAGTTAAACACGATTAATTATTATCTTTGCAGTGAAACATGCAGTTGTTCAATGTGAGTACTGATTTCCACTGAAACTCAGAAAAGCATGTGGTGACAAATGATCATGCCAAAATCAATGGATTAAAAAAGTTATGATGGGGCAATTTCAAGCTAGGAACAAAGTGAAATGTTCAAAGAAAGCATCTTAAACAAGTGATTTAGTCATGCTTGGGTACAAAAGGAGCATCCAGGAAAGGCCCAGTAAGGAAGGGTCGAGGCTTGCCACTTTGCCAGAAGAGAATATCAGAGAATAATCCAACAGTTTAAAAACAATGCTTCTTAACAAATAATAGCAATAATTTTAGAGAATAATATATGAGTGCATAATATCACCTCTAGAACCTCTAGAAATCTCTGTGTGTAAAGGGTCAATACCAAAAACCCCAGCTGAATGCCTGTGTACTTCAGTCTCTCAGACAGCACTGCATCAAAAACTGGCCTGCTTCTGTGATTGATTTCACCACAAGCGCTTAGGAATATTTTTACAGTCCGTTGTCAATAAACACCATTTGTAGTATAGTTAAGGCTGTACTATACACAGCAGAAGCCATTTGTCAACAATGTCCAGACTTCTCTAGGCTTGAGCTCTTCTGAAATGGACTGATGCACAGCGGAAACATGTATTGTGGTCCGATAAGTTTACTTTTTAAATTGAATATGGAAATAATGGACATAATGGACAAATAATGTTCTCTGGGCTATAGAAGAAAATAACCATCCAGATTGTTATCAGTGTAAAGTTCAAAAGCCAGGGTCTGTCATGGTATTATGGGGTAGTAAGTGCCTGTGGCATGGGTAACTTGCACATCTATTGTAGTCACTGACATTGACTAGTCCAAATATTTGTAATGTGTGTTATTTTTAAAAGAATGTGGCTTTTTATCATTGTATATTTAATTTTGTGAATCAGGGGGCCTGCCGCCAGACACTGTCTCAGTAGGATATTTAACTTACAGCGGACCTGTATTTGAGTGTGAGAGTTATTGACTGGAACAGCAGTGTGTGTGATGCCGCTGAACGGCGAGCGATTCCTCTGCAGTACCACGCTGCTGCTTTC